AGCATCGTGTTGTGGTGGTACTGGTGAGCTGGTGGTATAGCTTTCTCATTTGAGTCATTTTCCATGATTTGAGTACATTCGGATTGTTGCTTATTGGTGCGCAGATTGCACGGGTTGTGGCTTTAGATTGTAATGATGTGTCATGTCACTAGAGTAGTCGTGTTGGATGAGATGAGGTCATTGGACCTAGAATGAATACTATCGGATTCGATTTCAGCATGTTAGAAGGATAATACTGAAATTTGGCTTAGAAATTTACTATAGTCCTTGCCGAAGGAGAGGGAACTCCATGAATAGTTGAATTAAGGAATGATTATGATTTATGCATGTTTCTTTTATCATTGGCAGTATACGAAAGTGTTGGAATGAGACTTCGTTTGATAAGAGGTTTATTACCGGTATTAGGATTATTTGAGCAGCTGCTGTGATTAAAGGTTATCGCTACGAGTGTTTGAGTTATGTTGTATATCATGTGATTACATTTTGGGTTATGAATATGGTTTGATACTGCTTGTTCGGACTTATACAGGGTGTAGATACGAGATTCTGATCTTATAGAAAATTCTGGATGTTGGAAATTGGGCCCTAAGACTTATGGACTAGGTTAGTTAAGAAATTTCAGTCATGTAGTGTTATTAGACCTATATGGGATAGGGTGACGTGGGATCACCCCTGGTTATGTGCATAGTAAGGTTACACGGTGATTTAATGGCTTTTGGAACAACTCCTGGCACGTTCGAGGACGAACGTATGTTTAAGCGGGGGAGGATGTAACAACTCGACCGGTCCTTTTGAGCATTTTGCACTTCGCTCGATTGTTTGAGGGCATGAGTAGCTCCGTATGAATTATTATGACTTATGTGAATCATCGAATTTGGTTTTCAGGTTATTCGAAATTGATTTGGAAGAATGATTTTCAGCTAGAAACTTTAAATTTGAAAGGTTTGACCAAGTTTTGACATTCTAGAATTTAACCTCGGATAAGATTTTTGATGGTTCCGTTAGCTCCGTTAGGTAATTTTGGACTTGGGAACGCGTCCGGATTGTGATTTGAAGGTCTGTAGTGGAATTTGGCTTGAAATAGCAAAAGTTGAAATTTTGGAAAGTTTGACCAGGAGTGGACTTTTTGATATCAGGGTCTGATTTCGATTCCGGAAGATGGATCAGGTCCATAATGTCAAATGTGACTTGTGTGCATATTTGAGGTCAATCGGAAGTGATTTGATAGGTTTCGGCATAGGTTGTGGAAGTTTGAAGTTTCAAGTTCATTAATTTAGAATTAAGGTGTGATTCGTCGTTTCGATGTTGTTATGTATGTTTTGAGGCCCCGAGTAGGTTCGTGTTATGATATGGGATTTGTTGGTATGTTCAATAGGGCCCGAGGGGCTCGGGTGAGTTTCGTACAGGTTTGAGTTGTGTTGCGCTCATTTTTTTATTTATGTTTCGACGTCGTTTTACAAGCATAAATGGTACTACATTAAGCAAATGAGCTACAATTTCTGTTTTTATTGAAGTATTAGATCCGTATCGTAATTATGGAGTCATAGCAAAAAGAATCATCAAATTTAGACATCGTATGTGGATTTTATGGTCATTTTACTAAGAATTAGATTGCCAGATTTTTCAGATTAATTACGAAATTATCACTGAATTCATATTTAAAAATCTGCACTATTTTCAAATATTGAAACCAACATATCTCCTTCAATATAAGGTCAAATGGAGTGATTCAAGAGCCTAACTTGACTAAAATTTTACAAGGAATCCATTGAATATATCAAAAGCAAGTTTTATGATTGTTTGGCATGAGAATTGAGGCAGAATAGCTGGCAGAAAAATATATAAAATAAGGATTTGTTCATTTGGTCATATTTTGAGTTGGAGAGCTCGGATTTGGGTGATTTTGGAGGCGATTTTCACCATGGATTGGGGTAAGTGTTCTCTACTCGATTTTAATTAAATTTCATGAACCATCTTCATTTTTTGGCATTTGATTGATGATTTCAAAGTGAAATTTAGGGGGTTTTGCCTAAAGTTTCATAAAGTGAATTTTTTAGTTTTGAACATCGATTCGGAGTCAGAATTGTATGAAACTAGTGTGGTTGGACTCATAATTGAATGTGTTATCAGATTTTGTGAGTTTTGTCGGGTTTCAAGATGTGGGACTGAGTTGGGATTTTTGGCCGATTATGGGCTTTTGATTAAAGATTCGACCTTTTTCGATTGGGATTGGTTCCTTTAGCATTGTTTGATGTTTTGAGTTATTTTGGTTAGTTTCGATCCGTTCGGAGGTCGGAACACGTGAGATGGCATTTTTGGAGCATCATTTGGCTTGCTCGGTATTAGAATTGGTTTGTTTGAGGTAAGTAATGATTATAAATCTACTCCTGAGGGTATGTAACCTCGGATTTTGCATTGTTTTAATACTTTGAGGTGACGCACATGCTAGGTGACAGGCGTGTGGGCATGCACCATTGGGGATTGTGACCTGGTCCGTCCCATAGCAACTATAAGTTGCATATTAGGCTGATACTATAGGATACTTATACGTTTTAGAAAGAATTTCTGTAAATTGGGTTGAATGCCATATTTTGGCCTTGTGCCAAAGTTGTTTAGACCTTGAGGGGTCTTTTTCTTACTATTCTCTCATTGTTTTCGATTGAAAATCAATATTCAGTCATGTTATACTCATTGATTTCATAACTCAGTCTTTACTATATTGTTTTAATGCATTAAAAAATATTATTTTTGGCTGACCACCCTATTTTTACTGTTTGATGACTGAGTAAGGTCGAGGGCCTGATTTGTGATGATGTTTATGGGATCGGGCGGTACGCCGCAGCATGTTGTTATTGATTCATGATTGAGTGAGGTCGAGGGCGTGAGTATTTATGCCACGAGGTGGCTTGTTATGAGGTCGAGGGCCTAATTGATTATGCCACGAGCTGGCTTGTTATAGCGCTTGGGCTGTAGGAGCCCCTCTGGAATCTGCACACCTCCAGTGAGCGTGGGTACCCTGATTGAGTGATATGTTATTTTGCCCGAGGAGATGTTCTTAATCCATGTTCTGCCCGAGGGGCAGTTCTTGATCCATATTTTGCCCGAGGGGCTGTTCTTGATTCATGATGTGCCTGAGGGGCTGTTTACGAGTGATTGTGAGGTATGCCCGAGAGCTGTATATGAGTGGCTGTGAGGTTTGCCCGAGGGGCTGTTTATGATTCATGTTTGCTCGAGGGGCTGTTCACGAGTGATGTTTTGCCCGAGGGGCTGTTTATGTTTTCATCATTTTTACTCACTGTTTCGTCACTTGTTTGAATTGAAAGATGTTTTCAAAAGGTTTTATTGAAACTAGATTTAAATGAGCTGAGTTAATTTGAACACTAATTTTAAAAGCCTATTGTATTCTACTGAGATTTCACCATATGAACTGTATATGTTTTATTGCTCGTCACTACTGCTTAGTCTTTATTTACTTTTATTACTTAATGAGTTAGCGTACTCACATTACTCCATGCACCTTATGTGCAGATCCAAGTATTTCTGGACCCGATAGCAGGTGTTAATTATTCGGTGGCAGATCCATCAGATTTAGCTAGGTAGTTGTCCGTCGATCGCAGCCCTGCTTTACTCCCTCTTTATCTTTCCTTAGTTGTATTCAGTTATTTCAAGGCTATGTTAGTCTTGATATTGTTAGACGGTTGTAGTAGATGCTCATGACTAGTGACATCGCTATGTCGGGCCTTCTCTTCTGCACTTTTGTTTTTGATTTACACTCCTTATGAAGTTCTATATTAAATAACTTTGGAAATTATCTTGAAAATAAAAAATCTTGTTTGTTTTGGTAATGTGTCGGCTTGCCTAGTACCACAATAAGCGCCATCACGACAGGATTAGTTTTGGGCCGTGACATGTATCATGTAAAATTATTGTATAAAAGGTGTATCATTTATGTGTACTTAATATATAATGTATAAGAAGTATATATTCAGTGAGTTTATATTAAGTATACAAATATTATACAGTATACTTAGTCAATATACACTAAATTATACGGTGTCACCATTCATTCTGATTGTTGTTGTGAAGAAGGAGAAACAATATGAATTAAATAGAAGAATTGAGTTGTGAAGATTATAGAATCTGTGAAAAAAATATATAAATTGAACGAGGAGAATTTTGTAAGGCAAGATGAAATTTTATATAAAATAAGAATCGAAGTGGCGGAATAAAGAAAGTTTTGGAGTTTTGGCTTGAAAAGATATGCCGAGAGTTTGTATTATTGATTTTTATTACAATTTCTTTTGGTGAATGATTTGTTTCCAAGAAAAGAAGACAAGATTGATATAATATAATAGATGTCATTGTTAATATGCCGTTTACTAACCATTTTCAACAAGACAAGATTGACATAATATAACAGATTAATAAATACTGGACTAGATTTTGAATCAGAATCTTTTTCAAAGGAAAAAAAAAAAAGAAGAGAAAAGATGGTAAGATTGTTTCTATGACAGTTGACTTGATTCACTGCAGGTGTTGCTAGTTGATGAATCATGTGATTTGTATCACGCAAAGAGCAATTAACTATTGTCTTGCGATATGTTAATAGATGTGGATCTGTGGTAGAGTATTTTATTGGGATCGTTCATGTTCGTAATACTAGTGCTTTATATTTAAAGGAAGCAAATGTTGATTACCTTGCTCAACATTCTTTGAGTTTATCTTATGTGCGTGGACAGTGCTATGATAGAGCAAGCAACGTGCAAAGGGATTTTCGTGGCCTCAAAACTTTGATTTAACAAGAAAGTAAATCCGTTTATTCTATTCATTATTTTGCACACCAACTTCAATTGATTCTTGTTGCGGTATCCAAAAAATGTCTTGAAGTGGGAGAACTTGTATTGTTGGTTTCTAATGTATTGAATATAGTGGGAGGTTCTTTTAAACGTATAGATGATCTTCGAGAATCTCAAGCAGAAAAAGTTCAAGAGGCATTAGACATGGGTGAACTTGAAACTGGTAGGGGTTTGAATCAAGAACTTTGTCTTGCAAGAGCTGCCGATACTCATTGGGGTTCGCACTACAAATCTTTTAAGAACTTTATTTCTATGTTTGGATCAATTATTGATGTTCTTGATACTATTGTTGTTGATGCGAGGACTTTAGAAGAAAGAGCTAAGGCAAAGGGATATCTTAGCACTTGTCAAACGTTTGAGGTTGCTTTCATGTTGCACCTAATGAGAGATGTTTTGGGGATCACAAATAAGCTTAATACATCCTCACAAAAAAAGGAGCAAGATAGTGCAAATGCTATTCTACTTGTTGAAGTGGCAAAGAAACAGTTGCAAAAGCTAAGAGAATAAGAATGGGGTTTACTTGTTGATAAGGTGTCTGCATTTTGTGTCAAGTATAATATTTCGATACCAAACTTTGATGACTTCTATGTTAACTCCGGAAGATCTCGACGTAAAGTTGTTGATCATACTATTTTACATCACTATCGTGTTGATATATTTTTTAAGATTATTGATTGGAAAGTTCAAGAACTCAATGCTCGTTTTAATGAGGTGACAACGAAATTGCTTGTTGGAGTAGCTTGCTTAAATCCAGTTGATTCGTTTTCCAGTTTTGACATAAACAAGATATTGATGATGGTTGAATTATATCCTGACAATTTTGATGAGAATATAATGGTTACGCTCAAGAATCAACTTGAAACTTATATTGTTGATATTCGTGATGTTGATGAAAGGTTCTCAAATCTACAAGGACTTGTTGATCTTTCTGAAACACTAGTTAAGACAAAGAAGCATTTGAATTATCCATTTGTGTTTCGCCTTGTAAAATTTGCTTTGCTTTTACCAGTTGTCACTGGTACAGTTGAAAGAACTTTTTCGGCGATGAAGTTGATCAAGAGTGAATTGCGAAACCGAATGAATGACGAATTCATGAGCGGTTGTTTGGTACCTTATGTAGAAAGAAAAATATTTAACGTCATTTCTGATGAGACTATTATGAATACGTTTCAGGACATGAAAACTCGTAGAGGACAGTTATAATAATATATTCTATTAATATATAATTTTTATTGACCTTTTTGTATATTTGCTTCTTTGAATTTTGAACCCGCTTGATAAACATCCTGGGTCCGCCACTGAGTAGTTACCATTCTGGAAACATAACAGAGTACTATGAGGATTTATAGACAAAAAAGAAAGTATTATGAGAATTTAACCTTTTGTAAATAGTAAAAACGGGAAAAAGGAATGTTGGCTAACATAATTTATTTGTTTTTTGCTACAAGTTATAATGTGCAATTGTGGGCTAGCGGTTGTTTATTGTTTTTGCTGAGTGGCTAACTTTGTCAATCTCTTATTATTAATTTAGAACTCAGTAACTTAAAGAGATTAGAATTCCAAACCCATTAGCTTCAAATCCTGGATCTGCTCTGATTGAAGAGTGTCTCTCTCCTAATTTCTTTCAACTTTTCTCTTCTACTAGTCTTAGAGTACATGTGTTGCACGTGTACCCTATTTTAATGAGTATAACTTTTTTTTTTTTCTGAAAATGACATTTATATTATAATAAAAATTGTGTTTGAGTATTAAAATAAAAATTAGAGAAAAGGTATAAATCACTGAAAATAATGCAACCAATTTAGCTACACAATAAAAGAAGAAGCTTTGCTCTTAGTGAATATTCAACTTAAGATTTATTTTCTTTTCGGTTTTAGCAAGAACACACGTTTTAAAAGATACTAGTATTAGCACCCGCGTGATGCGCGGACAAAAACCTATGATTTGAGTCATTTGATTTATGTGCAAATCTGTGATGACCCAAAAAGGTCATCACTTATTTTTAAAATGCATTATGTGTTCCGAGGCCTTAAAGACCTCTTTCAACATCACCTCGATTTACGTGCGCAGTCCGGGCGTGTAGCCAGAAAGCTATTTTGTGAAAATCTGTGAATAAATATGGAAATTTTGACTTAAAATGCATTTAAGTTGACTTCGGTCAATATTTTGGGTAAACGGACCCGAATCAGTGATTTGACGATCCCGGAGGATCCGTGAAAAAATATGGAATTTGGGCGTATGCCCGGAATCGAATTCTGAGGTCCCAAGCCCGAGAAATAATATTTAAAAAAAATTATTTTCTGGAAATTTTTATGTGTTTTGGAAATGAAATGCATTTAAAATTTGAGTGTATCGGGCCCGTATTCTGGTTCTAGAGCCCGGTATAGGTCTTATATGTGAAATAAGATGAGTCTGTGAAATTTGATAAGAAACGGAAGTCGTTTGAGGTGATTCAGACCATTAGTTGTGAAAATTTCCTACTTTGAAAGTTTTGAGATTTTTCTTAGATTTCTATGCTAAATTCATTGTTTAAGAGGTTATTTTGACGATTTGGTCGCACAGATAAGTTCATATGATATTTTTGGGTTAGTACGTATATTTGGTTTGGAGCCCGATGGCTCGGGTGAATTTCGGAAAGTTTTGAACTCAAAAAAAGTTGCAGGCTTTTGGCTGTTCAGTGCCTAGGGATTTTGTTCTTCGCATTCGCGTGGTCCCACTCACGAACGCGTAAGGCAAATCTCCCAGATGCCAGATTTCTTCTTCGCGAACGTGAAGCCTGAGACGCGAACGCGAGGCTGAGGGGGGAATACCCTTCATGAACGCGTCCAAGCATATGCGAACGTGTAAGGTTAAAGGCCCGGGGGAGGGTTCACATTTTGTCATACGCGAACGCGGTCACTGGCCCACGAACGCGAAGGCTCGAGGGGTCAAAGCTTCGCGAATGCAAGCCCAATGTTGCGAACACGAAGGTCACTTAGGCCTAACTCTTTGCGAATACGACAGGCCTATCGCGAACGCGATGAAGGCCTGTCCAGTGATTTTAAAACAGAAGCAAAACGGGACTTAATCAAAATTTCATAACTTCTTCTTTCAAACTCCAAATTGAGCGATTTTTGAAAGAGGACTTCACCACCAATTCATAGGTATGTAATCTTAGACTCATTTTCTTCAATTTCCATTAAGGCCCATTAGATTTCTAGACTTAAATCATGTTCTTAAGGGTAAAAAATTAGGGATTTGGGTAGAGTTAGGACTTTTTGTATAATTGTGATTTAGACCTCGTCTGGGGTCGAATCTCAGAACTAATTATATATTCGGGCTAGTGGGTGAATGGGTGATCGAGTTTTGGTCCGAACCTCGTGTTTTGACCAAGCAGGCCCGGGGTCAATTTTTGACTTTTTGGAAATAATGATGGGAAAGCTATAATTAAGCATTGGAATTGGATTGTTTAGCGTTTATTGATTTTATTAAGTCGATTATGTCTATATACAATTGATTTGGAGCCGAATTCAAAAGGAAAAGTGATGTTTGAGGCTTGAGTTGGCCGTGGAAGTTCGAGGTAAGTGTTTGGTCTAACCTTAACTTGAGGGATTAGGAGTTGTGTCCTATTTGCTACTTGCTTCTTGTTGAGTACGACGTATAGGCATGGTGACGAGTATCTATACGTTGGTGTCGAGCATGACCGTGAGTCTTAAATTGAAATTTATTGTGTTCTTAAATAATACTACGGATGCTTAAGTTGATGATTCTCTGTATTGAGCCAGGATTATGATTATTCTCATGCAAATTACTTATGACTAAGTATTGGTGTTAGCTAAGGTAGTTAGATGTTCGAACAAGTTTGGTTATAGTTGTTTCTCCCTTGCCGGGACGTAGTTACTTATACTATCGATTCCTTTGCCGGGATAGTGTAGTTCTTTATTGATCCCGTGTCGTGACCCTTGTTATGATTGTTGTTGATTGTATATATGGACCGGGTTGTCCACCGCAATAGTGATATATTTGGATCGGGTTGCACGCCGCAACAAGATTATATGTGGATCGGGTTGCACGCCGTAACAGTGATATAATTGGATCAGGTTGCACGCCGCAGCAATGATATAATTGGATCGGGTTGCACGCCGCAATAGTGATATAATTGGATCGGGTTGCATGCCGCAACAATGATATAATTGGATCAGGTTGCACACCGCAATAGTGATAAATGATATGGATCAGGTTGCATGCCACAATAGTGTTGTTATGTGTTGGGATCGGGTTGCGCACCGCAATAATTGACGATACAAGTGTTTATAGATTGGATACAAGTTCCTTGTTGTTTTGCTGTGAATTCTAAGTTGTCCTTATGCCTTTACTCTTGATTTACTGTTGATATTGATATATCCCAGCAGCATGTACCCCCTCCCATCTTTACTTGTTGTTCATGTTTTATTTTCCGTTGCATATTATATAACTGCACAGGTTTATTTGGTAGTATGGTCTTAGCCTTGTCACCACTTCACCGAGGTTAGGATAGGCACTTACTAGCACATGGGGTCGGTTGTGTTGATTCTATACTCTGCACTATGTGCAGATCCCGGAGCAGCTTTTGGACCATAGCATTTGGGTGGCTGCCTTCAGTCTAGCTAGAGATACCGAGGTAGTCCTGTAGGCATCCGTAGGCCCGGCTTTCTCTTCTATCTTATTATGTATTTTGTTTTTCTTGTTTCCGAGACAGATTGTACTTTCTTTTCAGACTTTTGTTGTAGTCATCATAGATAGTCCGTGATATTGTGATACCGGATCCCGAGTAGTGACGTATGTTGGCATAGTAGTACTGGCTTGGGTTATTTTATCAGATTATGTCTTCTGCTTGATTTTATTCATTGTTAATATTTCAATCTTGATTACCTATTAATTCAAATTGTCAAAAAGGGCTAAAATGAAAAGAGTTTGTGATTCTTTATTTCGCGGCTTGCCTAGCTTCTATGAGTAGGTGCTATTACGACTCCTGAGGGTGGAAAATCCGGGTCATGACAAGTTGGTATCATAGCTCTAGGTTACATAGGTCTCACAATTCACGGACAAGCTTAGTAGAGTCTGAGGGATCGATACAAAGACGTCTGTATTTATCCTTAGAGGCTACAGAGTTAGGAAAAACTTCACATTTATTCTCTCCTATCGTGCGATTTTGTTCTCTCAATGCTAAACTGAAACCTCTACTCTTGTCCTCTCGCGAATAGCGAGGTCACGTACTGCGTCTTCAGTCGAACAGCAGCATAGAACGGTGATAAATCAACTACGTCTTCGAAGGCTTTATGGAGGTTGGATAGGTTTCACCAAGTTCTTCACTATCACTTTCAGCGGTGCATCTTCTGAGGATCCCCAGAATTATCTAGACAGCTGTCATGAGGTTCTTAGGAACATAGGGATAGTAGAGACCAATGGGGTCGATTTTGCTACTTTTCGCTTGTCGGGATCCGCCAAGACTTGGTGGAGAGACTATTGTTTGGCTAGACCAGCTAGATCGCCAGCCTTGACTTGGGAGCAGTTTACTCAGCTATTTCTAGAGAAGTTTCTCCCCATCACTCAAAGAGAGGCCTATCGGAGGCAGTTTGAGCATCTTCAGCAGGGTTCTATGACTGTTACCTAGTATGAGACCAGATTCATCGACTTGGCTTGTCATGCTCTTATCATAATTTCCACCAAGAGAGAAAGGGTGAGGAGGTTCATTGATGGACTTATTCGGCCGATTCGTTTTCAGATGGCTAGGGAGACAAGGAGTGAGATTTCTTTCAAGGAGGCGACCAATGTAGCCAGGAGAGTGGAGATGGTTCTGTCGTAGGGAGGTGGTCATGGGTCGGACAAAAGCCCTCGTCATTTAGGCAGATTCAATGGTGCCTCATCTGGAGGCAGGGATTTGTATGGTAGAGGCCATCCTTCTAGGCCCTTTCAGTCAGCACTTCAAGTATCTCATGGTGCTTCAAGTGGCCATGGTTCTCATATGCAGTATTATGATCAACAGCCCTACAGTGCACCACCAGCTCCTATCAGTGCACCACCGTTCCAGAGTTTTCGGGGTGGTCATTCAAGTCGCCAGGGTCAGTCTTAGTTTCCTCAGCTGCAGC